ATATCAGGAGTTAATAAAGTCAATAAGTTAATAAAGTTAATTAGTTTTGTCTTTATTAACTCTTTATATATATATATTATATATATAATATATAATATATATATATATATATATATAATATAATATATATACTATATATTATATATTATATATCAGGCCCGTAGCCCAGGGGGTTGGAGGGGTTCGAACGGAACCCCCGAGCCTCCCCCCCCCAAGCAAAAAAAAAAAATTGTTGAAAATTTGCAAGAATTTCACCCTCAGGTTCGCTCCATTTTAGTGTAATAATTGCAAAATCTCCATCGTGCGTCCGAGGACATGTGAACACGTGAACACCCCCCTCCACACCTCCCCCCGCTCGGTCGCCTTGGCTCCCTCGCCTGACGTCGCTTTTCGCGCCCGGAGCAGCGGGCTGACAGGGGGGCGGCCAGGGAGGTCCAGACCCCCCCTTTGCTCGCCGCAGGAAAAACGCATCTTGAGGGCGGTGTAATGTGTAATTTTAAAAAAAATTGGGGGAGAGCCCCCAGACCCCCCTTCGCTTGCTCTACTTTGAGTTACGGCCTTAGACCCCCCCCCCCTGGTACAATCCTGTACACGCCTGCCGAGCAAATTTGCTAACAAATCGCAAAAAACAAAACGAACCCCCCCCAACATAAAGCTGGCTACGGGCCTCGTATATAAACCGCCTAGCATGCAAAATTGACACTGACGATAAATACTCGTTTTGTAGGATAACCTTGAATAAACGGCCTAAAATAACGGCCTCGCCGATAATTATTTAATATATCCCACATCCTGCTCCTAATACATTAGTGCCTATTATAATCCTTAGTTGTTTTAGTGTCTTAGTATATTCATATATATATACGTGTGTTATTATATTCTATGTATATCTATGGGATATTTCTGAGCAGCTGCAGCTGCAGAGCCGCCGCGCACGTCGGGGGCGCCCTATAGAACCGAAGGGCGATAGACCGCAAGGTCGATAGACCGAAGATGAAAAGGGACCTATAGACGAAGGTCCGATATGACCGAATATTGAAAAAGGGACCTATAGACCGGAAGGTCCGATAGACCGAATATGAAAGGACCTATAGCCGACGTGCGTGCGTGCGTGCATGCGCACGTGTGGCGCACGTGTGTGTGCACGTTGTGGTGCGATGTGTTTGCACGTACACGTGCGTGCGTAGTGCACGTACACGCTGCTTGCTGCGTGTTGTACGTAACATAGGGTGCCCACACGTGCAGTGTGCACGTACACGGGTGTGTACGTGCGTGCCCCGTGTGTGTTACCGGTGTGATGTGTGCGTGTTTGTGCTGTGTGTGCACGTACACGTGCGTTGCATGTGCGTGTTCACGTACCACGTGCGTGCATTGCGTGCTGTACGTACCACGGGTGTGCGTTGTGCGTGCGCGCCGTTGTGTAGTGTGTTGTGTTGTGTCGTGTGTAGCGTGTGTTGTGTGTGCTGTGTGTATGTGTGTGTTTGTGTGGTGTGCGTATACGGTGTGCGCATGGTGTGTGTGAGAGAGGTGTGATATGTGTAGTTGTGTGCTGTGTGTGTGTGGGTGTGGTGTGTTGTGCCTTGTGTGTGTGGATGTATGTGCGCGGTCGCTGCGGTCGTGCACGTGCGTGCATGCGTGTGTTACGTACATAGGCGTGCACACGTGCGTTGAATGCAGTAACGCTAGTGTGTACGTGCGTGCGTTTGTGTGCGTGTGTGTGTGGCTGTGCGTGATGCACGTACACGTGCGTGCCGTAGGTGTTCACGTACACGTGCCTGCATGCATGTGTACGTACCACCGGGTTGTGCGTCGGCATTGTGCGTGGCGTGTGTGTGTGTGTGATGTGTTGTGTGTGTGTGTTGGGCAGGTGTGTGTGTGCATGGTGTGTGCTGTTTGTGTCTGTGTCGTGTGCGGTGTGTGTGTGTGTGTGTGTTGCTGTGTCGGGTGTGCGCATGTGTGTGTGTGTGAGAGAGGTTTGTATGTCTGCTGTGTGTGCATTGTGTGTGTGGTCGTGTGTGTGTGTGTAGCTGTGTGCGCGCCGGTGCACGTCGACGTGCGTGGTGTGTACGTACATAGGCGAGTGCACGATGGTGTGCACGTACACGTGCGGTGTACGTGCGTGCGTGTTGTGCGTGTGTGTGTGTGCACGTAACGTGGCGTGCTGCGTCTTCACGTTGCACGTGCGTTGCTGTGCGCGGCGTGTCGTGTACGTACACGGCGTGTACGTGTGTTCGTTGCGTGCGTGCGTGGCAGTGTGTGTGCGTGACTGTGCGTGTGTGTGTGTGTGTGGCTGTGTGTGCTGTGTGTGTGGCGCTGTTGTGTGTGTGGCGTGTGTTCGCGCGTGTGGCTTGTGTGCATGTGTGCAATAGAGAGAGAGGGTGGGAGTGCGAGTCGCGTGTGTGCGATGTGCATGTGTGTGTGAGAGAGAGAGAGAGAGATAGGAGAGTCGAGAGGAGAGAGAGTGGTGGTGTGTGTGTCATGTGCCTGTGTGGCTGTGCTTGATTGTGGGCCGATTGTGTGTGTCTGTTGTGGGTGGCGTGCGTGTGTATCGCTGGACGATCGCGTTCGCGTGTTCATGCCTGGTGTGTGGGCTGTGTGTGAGAGAGCAGGAGAGACGAGAGAGAGCAGAGAGGAGGACTGAGAGGGAGAGAGAGGCGGTGTGTGGTGTGTGTGTGCAATGTGTGTGTGTGGTGTGTGTTTGTGTGTGTTGAGATGAGATGAGAAGAGGAGAGAGAAGAGAGAGAGAGGTGGGTGTAGTGCGCACCGCGCGCGCGCGTGTGTTGTTTGTGTGTGTGGACTGTGTGTGTGTGTAGTGTGCGCGCGCGTGCACGTGCGTTGCGTGCGTGTGTACGTACATAGGCGTGCACACGTGCGTGTGCACGTACACGTGCTGTGTGTACCCCGCTTGTGGCAGTCACTGATCTCTATAATATAATCTATTATATAATAGATCTATAATAGATATATAATAATCTATTATATAATAGATTATATTATAGAGATCAGTGGTAACATGACGACTGGTATTATACAGGTTAGTTACTGCAGTTCCCGCCAGGTTTTTGGTGCAAGACAAAAGAACATATAGCAAAAACCGGGCATTTTGAACTAACCAAAACCTCATACCAAAAACAAGTTTATAGATTCTTCGTAAATCCATTTATTTACGTCTATAAGTAACAAGTTAGGTCTAGTGAGTATTGCTTACGCTCTGTGAGTCGGTGTGTCTTAAAATTTAATTAATTGTCAGTTAGAAACAATGTATCCGATGTGATTTGCGATAATGATGTTGTTCCCACTGGACACACACGACACTTCATATCACACATTCAGTGATTCACAGAAACTGAGCAAGGCATTTGAGTCTTTCCATTAATAAAATGAGAGCAAATAAACACGAATTATTAGTCTAATTTTGCGAGTTTGTGCGTAACAACATTCTTGCGGTAACATAATCATTATGTATTGTACTTGTAGAACACTGCTCTAAATAGCGTTTATCATCTTTGCTAAAAGTAAAAGGTCTGCTAGGGTTAGAAGAGCTGATAGGGTCTATGTCCCCCAGGTTACTGCCGGAATGTTTCCTGGTACTAAATAGTAAAATACTACTATCTAATATGCCGGACCGAACCTCGCCTACTCCACTAACGAGTCTAGGGAGTCGCCTACGCCTACTCCCTAACTCTAACCCTAACCCTAACCCTAACCATATCAGCTAGATAGTTACCAGGGTACGTTCCGGTATACCGGAGCGTACCCAGGGTACGTTCCGGTATACCGGAGCGTACCCAGGGTACGTTCCGGCAGTACTCTGGGGGACATAGACCCTATGAGCGTTAGAATTAAGACCTGTGTATATTCACAGACACAGGCACTTGGAGCGTTTCAATAAAATAGAATGCTAAATAGATACGAAATCTATTTACTACCAAAGTCATAATGTTTCTATACTCTCTTTCAGTTTCACCTATTATTGCCAACAATTTCCTGTAAATGCCATCCAAATGCTCATCTACAACAAACACTGGCTGCCGGCAAGCGCCATTGCTGCCGCTGCACACTGACACTTAAATATATAGTGTATATTTTTATATATTTAAGTGTCAGTGTGCAGCGTGAGCAATGGCGATCGCCAGTGTTTGTTGCACATGAGCATTTGGACCACAGGCACTTGGGCCGTTTCAATAATAAAATGATGGTTAATAAATACAACTTGTCAGTACTAGACCTACCAGTACCAGTAATACTAATAGTCTTAATGTTTGATTTGACCTAATAACTTCACTTCAATGCCGTCCAATACACCGCTGCAACACATAGCGTGCACGCCATTGTGCACAAATACACAGTAATGTAGAGTATTAACCATCATTTTATTATTGAAACGGGCCAAGTGCCTGTGATTTGGACGGCATTTATAGGAAATTGTCGGCAATAATAGGTTAAAGAAAGTATAGAAACATTAAGACTTTGGTAGTAAATAGATTTCGTATTTATTTAGCATTATATTTTATTGAAACGCTTCAAGTGCCTGTGTGTATATTGACGTTAGTCACACAGCCTGGTCGGGCTAGGTACTTGGTAGCTCTAGTACTATAGCCCGCGTACAGTTGCCGTAGGCATAGTACCATATAGTACCATATACAGTACCACATTGTACCCATATAGTACCACATAGTACCATATAGGCATAGTACCTACCTATAGTAGGCATAGTTGCCGTAGGCCTACGGCAACTGTACGCGGGCTATAGTACTAGAGCTAGGTACTTGGTAGTACCGGCGGTGTAGCTTCTTCCGGCCTTCGCTCAGGCTATTAGTAGTATTAACTTACAACAATCGACAGTCAACATTATTAAAGGTGGACATATCATCTACTGCCACTCGCTCAACCACTGAATTCCTGAGACATCTTTGGACTCTTCATGCACATACGATACGTACTCACAGGATTATTCGCAAGTATTTTATTGCGAGTTCATCCACACGGTGTTTAACGAAGACACACACTTGCACTTCCTACTGCCATTTTTCAGTCCAAAAATTCCGAAGTAGAAACGCGAATCGAGGATCGCAGCGATGTCGTTGGTAGCAGAGCTTGAGCAGGAGTACCAGCAGCTCAAAGCGAAGCTAGCCGAGGCCAAGTCCATGATCATCGGCCACTTCGACGACGACACCGAGGGTCGCCGCGGCGAAGCCGCGCAACAATCGAGCGCCGTCGCGAATCTGCAGCTCGAACGCGACGACCTTGTGGAGCGGGTCGAGGACGCGAAGCGGCACGACGCCGCGCGCGGCAGGGAGACCGAGGAACGAGAGAGGCGCAGCGACAACCTCATGAAGCAGGTGTGGTGACGAGAATTTTTCTCACATCCGAGAAACTTCTCGGATTCGACAGTCCCTGCGGTCGATTTTGCAGGGCTCGAATTTCCCTATTGCTAACTCGCAAAATGCGTGTCGATATTGGGAAAATTGCGAGTAGAAAATATAAGCACTTGCTATTTTCTGCGAGTGGAAATTTATAGCATACACCGCATACATTATCACTGTCGATCACGGAAAGAATATATTTCATGATTAATGGTCAAACAGGTCGGTCAAATTGCCTAAACAAGTTTCAATTCACCATTATTTACCGTACGTATGCATGTATGTGCGTACGCGTGCATAAAAATTGCACGTTACAATTCATTTTAGCACGTAGATTGTTTAGGCACTCGCGATTTTGCGCAAGTGGCTAAAATTGCGAAATCCGTCCCCTGGTTTTGTGAAACGTCTAAATTCGATGAGAAAGTGGTAGTGGTGGTGGTGGTGGTAGTGGTGGTGGGTGGTGGTGGTGGTGGTGTGAGTGTGGGGTGGATCAGGACTAAATCTTCATGTGATTGCACGTATGGTCTCAATGCTATCATCTATGGTTCGATTGATCAATTAAGCGGCATTAATTAAGTTTTAATTTTCGCATACGTGGTTAAGGCGGAGACGTGGGGTGGGATGAAATAGCTTTACACGAGAAATGCATGCGATATATGCAGTCAGCGAGAAAGAGAATAAGAGAGAGAGAAAGAGTAATAGATAGATAGAGATAGAGAGAGAGAGAGAGAGAGAGAGAGAGAGATAGAGAAAGAGATAAATAAAGAGTGAGTGAACGAGAGTGTGTGAGTGCAAGTGTGCGTGTGGGAAAGAGAGAGACAAGTGTAAGTGTATAATAAAGTGGCGAGAGATAGAAAGAGAGAGAGAGAGAGAGAGAGAGGGAGGGGAAGAGAGAGGGAGAGAGAGAGAGAGAGAGAGAGAGAGAGAGAGAGAG